CGACTAACGGATCGGATAGTGCTCGAAGACTTGGTTGATGCATGTCATCGTTTCCCAATTGCATTGATCGATGCTCATGATATCAATCACTGGATTGTCTTGTCAAGGCTCTACTTTTTGCAGACCGCTGGCTATAGCTAGAATATTGCTTAGTACGGCGTTAGTATATTGTGTTAATAACTACTCGTGGTTTGTAAATTGTGTTAATTGGTACATATGTTGGGTTAATCTTCACGGGCGTTTTGTGTTAATAGCTACTCGTAGTATATACATTGTGTTAATAGCTACTCGTGGTATGTATATTATGTAAATATCTACTCATGGTATTATGTTGTGTTAATAGGTACACGTGGTATGTATATTGTGTTAATATCTACTCGTGGTATGTGTATTGCGTAAATAGCTTCTCATTGTATTACGTTGTATTTATAGCTACTCGTACGTGGTGTGTTTTTTTAAATGGTCGTTATTTACCGTACATTTACCTACACAGTAGGGAGAATAAACCATGAGGGGCGAAGTACTGAGTTTATTTCTGATATGATATAGCAACGTTTTATGTACAGCCTCTTTAAGTAAAGGGAAGAGAATGTATGGATGTCAACTTCTTTATTATGAGGAACACAACGTTTCGGAGTACATGCTTACTCCTTCATCAGGTGATTGAATGCTATGAGACAGAGAGCATATATATGTACCTGTAAGAACAACAAAAGTAATGAGATAACAAAAAGTGGAATCTTAACAAGGAGAGCCAACAGATAATTGGCGCTGATATGCAATTAGCAATAGACAATGGAAGCCAACACTTTACAGTAATTAGCGCTTAGGATGTTGATAAAATGTACAAGCTTGTTCCCCATAGATGTAGCTGGGCTACGCAGGTAAATATTTTGAAGCTTGTACATTTCATCATCATCATTAAGAGGCTGTACACAATGTTTATATTTCATATAAGAAATAAACGACACGTGGTCGTTGTTTATCGTAGAATAAAACACTGCAGGGAGGATAAACCTCCATGGGCTGCGCTCCTCATGGTTTATTCTCACTGCAGTGTTTTATTCTACGATAAACATCCACTCATCGTTTATTTCTTAAGTAATAGCTATTCTTGGTATGTTTATTGTGTTAATAGCGACTCGTGGTACTGCGTTGTGCAATTGGCTACTCGTGGTATGTATATTGTGTTAATAGCTACTCGTGGTAGTGCGTTGAGGAATTGGCTACTCGTGGTATGTATATTGTGTTAATAGCTACTCGTGGTAGTGCGTTGTGGAATTGGCTACTCGTGGTATGTATATTGTGTTAATAGCTACTCGTGGTTGTGCGTTGTGGAATTGGCTACTCGTGGTATGTACATTATGAAAGTGGCTGGTAGCTGTGTGCTGGTTGTATTATTAATGTATGTAATTTGTATTTGAATTTAATAACCGTTCGTGTTCTTAGTTGTATTAACATATGTTCGATTAGTGTCAATATGCTAATTAGTGTGTTGAATTTATTAATTATTAGATATATAAACGGGCTCCGTCCGTCCGTCCGTCACGTTTCGTTTTCGGAGCATAACTCAGAAACCGTTCAATATTTTTTCATGAAACTTTGCAGGTCTGTCAAGTACATGCTGAACTGGTGCCTTTTGCTATTAAGAAATTTTAGAATTTTTTATTTTTTACGTTTCCATGGCAACAAGATGGACTTAGGTTCTGTAAGGGTAGGGTTCGTTTCCGGAGCATAACTCATAAACCGTTCAATATTTTTTCATGAAACTTTGCAGGTTTGTCAGGTACATGCTGAACTGGTGCCTTTTGCTATTTAGAAATTTTAGAATTTTTTATTTTCTACGTTTCCATGGCAACAAGATGGACTTAGGTTCTAAACTCTTCTTTTTTTACAATTTCCATGACAAGTTCCACCTCGGTTAAAAGAGGTTAGGGTTTGTTTAGATTTAATTATGTCATAAAATCTGCAACAGGGGCGGGGGATATAGCCATGTTAGTGGCAAACTCTTGTTACTGTTTGTGCTGGTAGTCAGTGCGTGCTCGATGTATGTTAACGTCTGAGACCAGTGTCTCTTCCAGTTTCTTCCCACATTCAGCTGATACCCAGTGATATAACTGAGATACTGTTAAAAGCGGCGTTAAACCTTTTTCACTCACTCGATGTATATTGGTTGTAATGATAGCTGCTACCTGTACATGCATGTAAATTTTGTTGATAACTGTTCGAGCTGTTAGCTGTGCTAACAACTGCTCGATGGATGTTGTTTGTGGTATAGCTTCGCAGGTGTTGTTATTGTCTATACAGCTTGTTGTATTAGTGTTGTATCTGTAACTGTTTCGATGTCACAAGGACACAAATATAGCGAAACACACACACACACACACACACACACACACACACACACACACACACACAAAACACACACACAAAAAAAAAACACACACACACACACACACACACACACACACACACACAAAACACACACACACACACACACACACAAAACAAACAAACACACACACACACACACACACACACACACACACACACACACACACACACACACACACACACACACACACACACACACACACACCTCAATAGACAGTTTTAGCGAGTGTTTCGTGACTGGCCAGTCACTCACCCATATAACACCCATTCCACAGTCGGCTGAGTTAATTTTGTTTTTAAAGAGCAGCCGACCAGCCAAATGGTTTAACCGGTAAGCACAACTCAAGAGTAGCCATCATCAAAGGCGTATATATCTATATATGTCTTTGCCATCACAAATATTTCACTCATGAAACGTTGGAACACCCTGCAGCCGGCGTGACCTTTCAATCAAACAGGGATTTGCTCAAGTAGCACCTAGAATGTTTAGGCACATTAATTCTTTAAGATATATGACATACGTCGACATACATTTGTCAACATTTCGGGTTTTAACGAGGGCGTACTTCACGGGAGTCATATCATATGTACAGTGTAACGTAAAGCGAGTAGGGGACGAAGAATGTTCACTTCTATCTTTCAGCTTAAAACAGATTTTTTCGCACTTGAAATTTGTTCACATGAATCACCACGCCTGAAATACTTATTTTAGGCGTGTTACTGTGGTGAAATTCGTGATTTTAAGTGATCGTAATGTTCGGAGATGACAAACACTTCTTATGATCAAAAGTGTCAAAAAATCTGGAAAACTAATTGACAAAAGGAGAAAGCTGACTGCTTCGCAACTGAGCTCATGCCAAGTTTCATATTCTGTACTGTAGCAGAAGTATTGCTCAAATGGGAGTAAAATACCGAGAATCTTTTCATACGTCCCACATGTACATATTAGCGAACAGATTGACCTATAGTTTGTTTTTACGCCGCTTTAAAAATCATTTCAGTTACATCACGGCCTGTCGGTTTGATGTTGGAGGAAGTACCGAAGTGTTGCATGTCTTAGACGTTTAAGCACGGGTATTGTGCTGACAAAACATAGAAACATAATCAGGACGAATCTGGTACGCCTAAGGGACGTAACTCTGCACATCGAATTGCGTCGCCTTAGACGACTGCCAACGACCACCCCCAACACCACCCCCGTGCCCTTTTAGTCCCAGAAGAAAGCTCAATTCTGCCATATCGCTGTTTCCTCACTATGTTAAGTTTATACGCCGTGATATGACTACAAGGTTATTCCATGCAGCGTTAAACCAAACGCATACACACTTAATAACGCAAGCGCATGTTTTCACTGATCAGACCGCCTCCGTTAGTCTAGATCTGTCATACATACCCGGAAACATATATGTATAGAATATAGCCCATGCAAGTCTATAATATTTTGCAAGTCTAGATTACTGCAGTATCAGGAAAATGAAGAGGGTCTCTTGGCTCCTTTTTATTACACTTAATTACTATTATTTTTTCTTCTGAAAATATGTTCATTTCACAGAATAGATGTTTAATTTTCCCCCATGGTCTAGTGGTAGAGCCTCTGCTTGGAGAGCGGAAGGTCGGGGGTTCGATCCCCAACCGTGCCATACCCAAAGACGTTAAAAGATGGTACTTGTTGCTACCCTGCCTGGCGCTCGGCATTTAGGGGCTGAACAAGACTAGTCAGCTTGGAGTCAGTATACTGAGTGGGGTATTCCGGTTAAACTGCGGCATAATATCTCAGTGGGCTAGCAATATAAAATGGGCATTAGTCCGAACTAGAAAAAGCAGACAGACAGACAGACAGACAGACAAACACACACACACACACACACACACACACACACACACAAACACACACACACACCTCAATAGACAGTTTTAGCTTTTAAAAACTATTATATAACACTTATACAATTCATTCCCACTTAAAAAATGTGCGTTTACATTATAAAAAAAACGAGTTAAAGACCAAAATGACAGGGGCGTTATATGACGTAATGATAACAATCAGGTCCCTCGTGTACAGTGGAAGAACGGTGGAGAAATGTGAGCATCGACCTGATATGACCCCCCACTTCCGACAAACAAGACTCACTCTAGCTCTGTGCACGGTCAAGTGTGTAAGTTACCCTCACCCTCTTATAACACACTCCCCCCTCCCCCTCCAACCACCCCATGCTCTCCCCCTCCACGCTGCATTCCACGCATCATATGCAAGACCCGTCTGAATGCATTCCAGGTGACCAGTTCGGATGGTGGTCCCCACACTGCAGAGGTATATACACAAAAAGACAAACATACGAAAATGTCGTCTGCTATTCCGTTGTGTCACGACTCGCCTGTTCTCCAACTTGGAGGGAAAACGCTGTATCTTTTACATCGGTTATTGACAGGCTTTTCCCACAAATGAGACACTGATGAAAAAAGGTTTTGTAAAACAAATAAAAGTTTATCCCCTCAGAGCTACAAAGTTCCCCTGCTTCGTGCAACTTGATACGACCACGAAACATCGTCTGCTCAACTGCGCGCGAAGCTCTCGCGAACCACGAGCTCTTTAACTCGACTATCGAATATCGTCTGCTCCTCGCTTCCTAGCCTCACTCAGTCTGAGCGGTGCTCGTGTGAGGATCTTCAACTGAATTCACTGAGATTTAAGGATGGTCCAAGCTCTTTAGAATTGAATCGTCCAAGCTTCGTGATACCGTGAAGGTAGGACATCTTTCTCCAGCTCTCACGCCACACAATGCATACATTTTCAACCCAAGTTTTTTTTATGCATTAAAACAAAACACTAGCCTATGTAAATTTTGATAGCTTGTCTTTTAACTTTCGTATTCAATACTTTTTCAGCACGCCCTCTATGTTATTCTGTACAAGTGTGTATTTAACTACATTTCACTGTTCCTATGCAATGTTTACCTACTTTGAAAACGAAATGTCCCTTTCAATAAAGCAGAGTTTTTTCAGTAAAATGCTTTAAGCGTCATTAACCTTGTACAGGGACTTACGAAGATTTACGACATAACTGTGGTGGGTTAGACATTGTGCAGTTAGGCGGTTACCCCTGATGAAAATGACTCGTCAAGTTAGACAAGGTTCACGAATGCATTGACGCTGTGTGTAAGTAACACGACATAGTTTCAGCTAAAGTTCAAACATTTTGTGCAGGCGCGCGCATGTGCACTTACTATATTGACAGATTATTGCTTTCGCAATGTTTGCGACAGTAGTACTGTGTATCTTGCAGAAACAGAAATGAATCCCTTCTAAACACATAACCTCCACAGTTCTACAATCGATAACAGGTGTCCCTTGTGTAATTAGCCTCTGAAGTTTGATATTTCGGATAACCTCACTTTATCAAACACATCACACACCATTAACAGCATTACATATGTTTATTATTTTTTCTTGTTCATATCTTTATTTCAGGTTTAAATGTTTGCACCAGGTTCAAACGTGTATAATAAGAAGATGCTTCAAAAATAACATTAACGTATTGATATTTTTCGTGATACAGTGGTGATCACGTGTTACGTCCACCTAAGCATGTGCCCCTCGTCACTGTGGATGTGTGTACTAACCGTGATAGGTGCGATTTAAGTTTCTAATTATGGCGGGTTAGCTTTTGATGGATGTCCAAAATAATAAAATTCGGAGACATACCACATCGCTCGGCATTCTAGCGGAACGAAAATACGACTCTTCCGCGGATCCGTAGATTCAATCTTTATGTATCATAAAGTCTGTATTTTAACACGCCATCCCTTAAAAAACCTGTTTCAATAAAATTTTAGATTAAATCTCCTTTTGTAATATGAAAGTATTCAACGATGGGTTACTTTGATGCGGATAGTTTGTGTTATTTTTCTCTACACGTTTTGCTCTAGTACTGACATGGTCGACAGAGGGAGACAAGGGGATATGCTTTGCCCTATCCCTTTCTTTCATTCAATCACACATTTGTTGCATGTGTGGGTATCACATTCAAAATACATACTGGACTACCCCGTATCAAGATTAATCTTGGCACGTAGTAGGTGTAAAGAATGTATGGTATCTTTATTTGGATGCTTACCACCGAACATTTCTGAAAAACATGTTGACTTTGCTATGTATCAGATACAGAAACTTGCTGGACTTGCCAGGCTGGAATGAGTGGATGGGATGGATGGAGATGAACAGATAGGCTGGGAAGTAGAGAAGGGGCGGTTGTATTTAAGGGACAATATTAAGTTTCGGTAGGAGATCTGTAAGATTCAGGAAAACTTGAGAGGGTGGATGGATCTGAACTGAGATCTAGCTTTGAACAAGAGAAGTGGAGGTTTTAGTTATGGGAAATCAGTGATTAAGTAAAAGTTTAAGTAGAGCTAGGAGATCTACCTGCCTCTCCATTGTGTACAGCAGTTACAGTGAAGAACCGTACTAATTGTCTCTCGTCACGACACCCCCATGTGCGTATATGTTCCTATATCTATAACACAAATTACATAAATATACAGACATAGGTATTGTAAAATTTCCCCTTGAGGAGGACTTGAATCATGTTTTGTGATTCTGCATGTCAGCTCGTTTACTTCAGAGTGTGCCACGTCTCAATTCGCGCTAGATATGAATATTTTTTATGCAAATTATTGAAAATAATGATAAGGGTTACCCGTTTTTCAATGACAGTACACTGTGAGCCTTAAAAATGACTGCTTGTGCATCGGTTGTGTTGCAAGGAAACCCTATTAATTCAAACGAATTGAAAAGTTTTATCATGAATGGGTGTATCTATATGTGGTATATTTGAACAGCGCCTTGAAAATGTTGCAGTCAGTAAATAAAGAAATAAGTTCTCTATCGTTGGACAGTATTAATTCGGTTTTGAAAATGAATCTTCAAACGCCCAATGCGTGTTGGTTAATGTTTAAAGTTGAAGGATGTGAGACATACTTGACAAAAACTTTACAGGTATGATCATAATGGCGGAATACACCATGTAGACCCACAATGCATTGCATACCGTGCACAAAGTGCAGTGATTGTTTACATGGATTAGGCGGTCGGACCCAGTTTGAACAAGAAACGCATTCAGAGAATGTCTTTTATTTTGGACGTGGGATATTTCTTGTGCAGCCACGTTTAAATAGGGAAAGCTCTCAGCGTCTTGACTCAGGGAACAGGTTGTTCGAAACGATGCATGTCTTTTTAAAAACATGTGACTTGTGTATCCTTTTGTCTTAAAGAATTGAGGAAAATAGTTCACCTAACATGCATTTAAAAGATGTTCCCGGTAAGAGGGTAATGACTGAAGTGACAATTTGTTGTTCTAAAATATCTAGGTCCGTGATTAAACCAAACATTACGAACTATTTACTTCTGCTGACTTTCTCTCAACGCCTTAGTTTACTTCAATGGGTTTTTTTTCTGAGACACCCAACACCTCTAGCCGTCGCTTAGTTTAAACACTCTAGCATTTGAGGAGTTAAAAATTGCAGTCTACCCCTGTGTCATCTGTATACGATACGAATTAACAAATATTTACATAAAAATATGAACCTCGCGTGTAACACGTATGTCCCAGCATCTACAATAGATCACACCCCATTTTACGCAGCATTCGCCGATGTTTTGTAAACATTACCACATATCTAAGATTTTTTTCACTTGCGATGTTTAGTTAACAAAAACAGTAACGGCTGTGTCTACAGCCAGCACGAAGAACATCTTGCAATAAGTGACCATTCCAGGTATTTTCGCGCGTGCTAAAAGGAAGTTTAAGTACAGAAACCTCCTCTTTGCAGCCCCAATTTTGAATGCCCTCACATATAAGGCAACAATTAAAGGTCTTAAAATACAATGTTATTCTTGTGTTGGATTTGCGCAAACTGTTGTGGCCTGTTAACATACATAACGGTCGGCGCCCCCGCTTAATCCTGCGACGTGTCTTGGTCGTCATTGACGCGATGTCCTACTAATTAAAATGGGGAAGGTATTTTCGCTTCACTATTTGAAGAGATATGTCCTTGTCTATTTGAATTCAGTGTGTGCCGATTACATTAGAGCTCCCATAGCATTGTATCAAGGAGCATGGACCTTATCTAGGTTGGGTTTTTTTATGTGGGCGTATCTCGTCATTATACGGCATATCTTGTGACGGCTATTTGTTGTAGGTCACGTAAAGGTTCACCCAGACGCAGTTTTAATTCATTTTTTCACACTGTGTATTTGTGATCCCATAAGCAGCCATTACTTCCTTTAAAGACCTTGACCACGGTTGCGTTTACGTTTCATATCGAAAAGACTTGAAGTAGTCTAAAGGCGTTGTTGATAAATTACACGATAGCACACAACATTAAAGCGGTCTTGTGAAAAATTACACTCCTTATCAGTTGAAGTTGGAGATTATTGAGAAAGATATACTCGCATTATTATCAGTAGCCCAGCTAAAGAACTCTGTTCTCACTATAACGTTAAAACGTGTATACATGTAGAGGTTGGCCGGCGTCCTAGATACCATTTAAAACGATGAAAATATCATATTTGGCAAACTTCAATGAGCGTGATTTGTATAGGTATGATGTATTGGTATTTACGTTATATATTTGATGAACAGCTTTTTGTCAAGTTGCGCTTTTATTGGGTATGTTAAACGTCGTTCCATATACTTTCACGCCAGGATAAGTGGGCAAGCGGCCTTGTGACATCTCGAAAAAAGTTATTTTCCTTGGATATATACACATGGTTATTTTTTCTTGCTGCAAATCATGTCATCGCATGTATGAACCCACAAAGTGAATTAAGGTGCTGAAGCGTTCAGACTATCAAAGTGAGAAAACTTTATAGACCGATGCACCATAAGTCTTTGAAGCAATTATTATGAAGGAGTAATTAGAATGATTGAAAAAAAAAAAAGATTTGAACTTTCGGAACGATGATCACTTTAGTACAACTTGCTTTTCAATTATAGTATAATCCCATAATCTTTTACACTGGCATACTTGAAACATGTGAATGTCCTCAAAGAATATTTCATAATTACGTTTTTAACGTCAGCATTTTTCAATAAAAGTGTCGATCACATGACGTCCTCATCTGCCGAGTCAGCGGTTTTACCAGCGTAAAGCAGTTTCCCATTTAAATATGTTTTGTAAGGGGAGCGTTCGTTATCCGTGGAAGCAGAGGGTTAGTGAACTTGGGACATTAGGAACCATATCCAGCTTCGTCAGATTTAACGACCTTATCCAGTGTTTTCTCGGCAGTCTGGCTGTTGTCAAATCAACAGATGTCTAATCACATTTTGATGTTTCCCGTGTCACAGGACCAGGTGTTTTTCATGCATATAAAAACCCACTCGACTCTGGCGTTTTTCACGCCGAACAAGGGGTACAAATATGTTTCTCCATATGCATCTGGTTTTGTCGACGTTTAAATTCCATTTCTGTTCGTCAAACTATCTACATGTGTGTTCACTTAAAATTTGGCAGTCGCAAAAGTAACAAATATGTCAGTTATGGTTTTGTGTCAACTCAAATGCAAAGTTAACGTGGCTGGCAATCTGAGGATATGTCCTACCATTTCTGGAAATAACAGTGTCCCTGACAAGATCAAATATCTGCGAAGTAAAGTTGAAATGAATTATGAAAAATCGAGGAGCTGAATGATTATCGAACACTTCTAATGGTTCTGGAAATAACAGTGTCCCTGACAAGATCAAATATCAG